TGCTGGCAGGACCTAGGGATTCCCTGGCCCTCCTCTGCTCTGGGAGCTGCATCCTGTGCGGCAACAGGGGCTGTGAACCATCGGAAGGGGGCTCAGAAAGGCCAGGAAACAGGCTGGCTGCGGACCCCTGCCTACGCCCCTCAGAGGCAGAGAAGGTGCCCTTCTTCCTTCTATGGAGCAAGAAAGAGGAACTCCCCGGCTGCTTACTTGAGAGAGTACAGCACGTAGAGGTAGTTGGCCTGATCCTGCAGGGTCTGGCATTCACGGAGCTGGTTCACTAACGCCCGGCAGTCCACGTTGCCCGCCTCATCCTTGGGCAGATTCAGCTCTTCAGGGCTGGGGGGCTGGTCGGGAACAGAAGGCCAGGAGAGTCTCAGAGGGGCCGTGCTGGCCCTCCCCCTCTTCAGCTCTGCCTCCCCCCGCCCCACGCCATGACCCAGTGGGCCTCAGCAGCCAACGAGCCAACCTCCATGGTGCTCGCCTGGACCCTACTCCAGAGCTGATGGAGCACCAAAGCCTGCTGGGGCTCCCTCAGCCCCACCCCAGGTCTCCCCAGGGAACAGGAACGCCCTCCATGGAAGTTCAGGTCCCTTGCCGTTCAGAGCAGGTGCGGTGGAAGAGAGGCTCTCCAGCTGCCTGGGAAGCCGCCTTCCACCTGGTCAGGGCGCTGGCTCAACGGGGCCACTCCTGCCAACGCTTGAGGTGGGACGTTTCCCCTGTCCTGACCTGGAGAATTTGGGGGTCGAGCCAGGAATATCTGTCTTCCAAGCAGGTGCTCTACCATAGAAGGAGGGCCTTTCCCAGCTCTGGGTCTACTCATGGACAACAAATTATACGTATACATATCACACAGGGATTACAGCTGAAGCGCCCAAAGGGCACGACCTGGCACTCTCTCTGTCTCTCTCTGCCTGCCACTCACATTTCTGAGAAATCTGTTAGACCCCCCCCCTTCTTGCTGCAAAAGAAGAACATCTGGGTGACTGGAAGTGGGCACATGTGACTTGCAAAAAGGTGGGGAAGGCCAGGACCTGCATTGACTGACCTCTGGCCACTGCCCCAAGGAGCCCCACCCATTCCACAGGCTTTCGATAGGGGAGGCCAAGACTCTGGTCAGCCTTCAGCTGCCTCGGCCTCCTAGAGGTCCCCAGCTCAGGCCAGGCCACACTGCCGAACGGCGCGGGACCCTCACCTTAGCTCCCCTTCGCTCTGAGGAGCCCAGCAAGTTCACCGACGCTTGGGACTCCTGCAAGAGCTTCGATGGGATGTACATGTTGACATCTGCAAGACAGACAGGCAGGCAGGGAAAGGGATCAGGAAGGGCAGAGGACAAAAGCCGCGGCCGCTCTCCTGGGCCAGGGCCCCCCTCGTCCTCTGGAGTTCCTCTGACCTCCTGGCGAGTTTGTGCTGCTGAAACAAGAGCTTCCTGGGGCCTGTGGTGTGTGTGTGCATGCATATCTTTACTACGAGCTGCACTGGAAGAGAAATCCTGGGGCTGGCAGCTTCTCTGGCAGGGGAGCAGCTGTGCCAGAGGACCTGGGTGGGGAGGGCGTCCCTCCTGCAAAACGCCAGGTGAGAACAGGAGGCCCAGAGCACCCCGGGGTGAGGTTCGATGGGGGAGCGGTCTACTCACTCTCAATGTGCAGATCCTTGGCTTTGGACACCAGAGACATGAGGTCCTGGGTCGTGTGCACGGCGGCTCGGAAGCGATGGAGCCCCCCCTTCTGAGCCACAGGCGGCAGGTTGGCCTTGGGGGTGGTGCGCTGCAGAAGGTGATCCAGGTACTGGGCTAATTCATCACAAATGTCAGCTAGAAGAGCAGAGCGGAGTGGGGGGGAGGAGAGGGGGCTTGTATGAATCTGTGCTTGCGACTCTTGCCAAGGAGCCCTCCCTCCCACGGACACACATAGCAGACGCTGCCCCTGCCTGAGCTTGCCTGGGCAGGAGGGGCTGGCACCAGGCCCCGAGCAGCCCAAGAGAAGGTGCAGGGCCCCCAGGGCCGTTCCCTCCTCCATCACGGCGTGCTGCTTTGGACCCTGTCTCTTACAACACGGGCATTCCCTGAACTGCGCCCACAATGAAGAGAAAGGGTCTCGCCTCCCTCCGGGAGACCCCATGCAATACATACACTGATCATTACACGCTTTTGCATTACAGAGGGCTCTGCTCTGACACAAGGCATGTAAACCTCATGCACGAAGATGCCATGAACACAGACAAAACAGGACAGGAAACCCTAAGGAGCCGCATCCCAGGTTCAGGGGCCTGTTGCCTTATTGTTCCAGCGGGGGGGGGGGAGAAAGGACCCCCCTTCCAACTCAGCAAAACACGTTGCCCACAGGGACCGGCCAGCCCAGGCAGCCGGAACAGCTGCCAGCCATTGAATCCATGGAGAGTGCGGAGGTGGCGGGTCCCCCCGTGCCTGGGAGCCACACAGAGGTGAGCCACCATGAAGCTGCACTGATGGCTCCCAGCCACCGCGAGGCCACCCCGTCCCGTCCGGCAACCCTCCTTCCCCTCCGACGGCCTGCTGGGATCTGGAGCCCCCCCCTTGTGCCGTGAGATGGAGAAGATGGTCTGCAGTGGCCAGAGAGGCTTCCCTGTGCAAAAGAGGGGCAGACCGTCTTCCCGAAACACCAGCCCAAGGAGGAGAGGAGACTGTTCATGCGCCGCCCCAGGGACACGCATGCAACAAGCCCTTCCCTGGGCAGCAGGCACAGACTTCCTGGGCCTCGGAGGAAGCACACACTCATGCACACCACGGACTTGAGAGGGAGGGCATCCCCTCCCACATGGAGTCAAAGGCACAGCACGCATGCCCGCGCTCGGAGGTGGTACGGAGGGTGGGACCGCGGGTCAGTCACAGGCGCTGTTAATGGAATGAAGGGATTGACCAAGGAAGCGTCAGGAGGTTTATGGAGGGAGGGACAGAGGGAGGGAGGGTCCCCTAGCAGAATGGGGTGGTGGTGGAGGTAGGGTGGGGGGGCTCAGACTGTTGCCAGTCAGGGATGCCTGAAAGCCCATGACTCTGGAAGAAGTGAGGAACCAGGGAGGAGGGAGGGGGGGGAGCCTTTCCTTCTAGACTAGCACATGCATGTGCTCCAGCATGTGATGGAACCTAAAATAGACAAGTGGTGCAAGGCGGGGGGTGGGGGGAAGGTAGTTTCCATATTACCCAACCTTTCCTTCAGTCAGAACAGAAAGAGTCGGCGAGAAGGCAGAGCCTGTCAACCAGGTAATCTGTGCTAGCTCCCCCCCGAGACCCTGGGCTCAGAAGGGGCCCTCGCGCACCTGTCCCCCGGCTGCACCTGCTCAGTATGTACCCTGGCAAGTTGCTCTGTGTTGATCTTGCATGTAAATCAGAGACATGGCACACACCTCTGCCAAAGGAGGCCAGAGGCCCTGCCGGAGGCCCTGCCTGGTCTATCTTTGGGACACACGCGGTCGACCGTGGGCAGCCAGGGGCCAGGAGCCAGGCCGTTTGGGCCGATTCAGCACATTCTGGCTCCTGCCCCCTGGGGACGGGAGAGGGAAGCGCCCTGGGGACCTCAGGGAGGAGGGCAGCTGCCTCTGGGTGTGGGCCCCCCTTCCTTTCCCCAACCTGTCGGGCTTCGCAAGCGCCAGCATCCGGCTTGCGCAGCAGCTGGCAAAGGGCGCAACCGCCACACGGGGAGGGGGAGCTTTTTGAATGGAGACAAGCCAGCAAGCTGAACCCCAGTGAAGATCCTGGGGGCCCAGACCCCCCCCCCGCGGCTGCTGCTGCTGGTCTTCCTCCGAGGCAAGGGTCTGCAGATGCAGCCCTTTGAGTGCAAGAACAGAGAGGAGCCCTGGAGATCCGGAGGCCCACTCGGCCACGAAGCTCACTGGCCGACCTCCTCGCCTGACCTACCTCGCAGGGCTGCTGTGGGGATGAAGTCACATGGAGGGAGACAGCCTTGAGGAAAGTCAAGCTATGAGCATACCAGATACAGAGACAACAGAAACACTGGGCTGTTTTTCTTCATCCCAATATCGTAAGGTTTTCATTGTGAGAGAGAAGACAGCGATTAATTAAGGGGCAAGCCAGGAATGAGATGAGAGTTAAACAGAGTGAGTGAGGCAATGAGGGTGGATTAAGAAACCCGTTAATCTGGACCACGGCACATCCTAGGTGCAGGGGGTGTGGGGGGGGGGAGAGAAGGCGACCCATCTCCTTACCATCTTCTGCCAATTGAAAGCCATGCAGCCAGTCCTCAGCGTCTAAATCCTGGAAGCTTTCAAGGCTGAGGCCATAGTCATCAGCATAGAGCTTACCCTCCAGCCCGGCATCCATGAAGCTGAGGTGGGTGCGACAGGAAGTCGTGAGGAACTCGGACAACCTACCAGTCTGGATCCTGTGGGAATAGACCAGAGCGTGCAGGAGAAGGTGTGGGAGCGAGAGCAGCCTCCTGTTCCTCACTGCTCCCAGCCTGTCCTCCTCCACCAGCAGAAGCTCAAACCAGGAGCAGGCGAACCAAGGCCGGAAGCAGCTCATCCAACCGGCCTCCCCCAGGGATGGTCACCGCTCACTCCTAGGACAGTGAAGCCATTGCCGGCACCACGTAAAGCCTGGTGTGGAGGCGCAGCCCTCTTTCCCTCAAAGGCCCTGCTGTACAACCCCTTCAAAAAGTAGGAAACCACCACAACGCTGTGTGGTACATGCTCTTCTGGCACAGCCCGCTCTCCTCTCCTCTCCTCTGCTGTCAGGTGGTGGATGCGGTCCATCAGCTACACCGGAGTCAGCGCCCAGCCTCCCCACCAGCGCTCACCTGGCCCCTCCAAAATAACCGTCCTGCAGCTTCCGCAGCGTGGCCAAGATCGTTGAGTGGATGCCCGTGCCGGTTTCACCTTCAAACACAGAGAGCGTCCCAAGATGCGGCCACCGCTCTACGTGGTGGGGAGGAGCGTGGCCAGCCACCCTCCACCCCAGTGACAGAGCACCTCTTGCCCCCTTTCCAAGGCCAGGAGCCTCTGGAGGACCCTGCAGGGAACCAGCCTACCGAGCATCATGTGCGAGATGGGGAAGGTGATGGTGGGGCGCCCCGTCATCCTCCAGCGGCTGCACAGGTACGAGAGGTCCGTCCGCAGCATCTCCACGATCATCTTGTTGTCAAGAGCCAGGTAGAACTGCTGTTGGTCGATGAACTGAGGTGGGGGGGGAAGCAAAGGCAGTGAGAAAGAGCGGGCAACGTGTGAGCAGGGCAGGGGGGGCAAATGGGGCTGGAAGAAAGCCGAGGGTGAGGGAGCAAGAAGAGGCAGGGCGGCCACTGGAGCCGGCTCAGCTGCCCCTGAAAACGTGGAAGCCAGACTCACCAATGACCATTGTTTCATTAGAGAACAACGCTCTGAGCCGAAAGCAGCTCCTTCATGCACGCACGCACGCATGCACGCCCACCCACTCCATGCCACTAGAAGCTCACTTGGCTTGGGACCCATTTTGCCCCAGCCGGGAGAGAGGGGGCAGCTGGCCGCTTTTCCCCTCAAACCCTTTTAACCCTCAGGGAATTCTGAACGGCCCACTTTGAGTAGATTCAAGGAATCGTGGTGGCCCTTCAGAAGGGGCACCTCTTGGCCCACTCACCTGGGGTGTGAAGATAAAAATATTGTCCCGGATGTCGTAGAACTTGGAGGTCCCGAGGACGCCCATCTGCCGGAAGGGCCGCCCGCTCAGGTTCATGCGCTTGTTACGCCCTGCCAGGAAACAAGACGCTGAGCCGCCCCCGTCAACCAGCCAGTCTGCGCTGCTTGCACAAACTGGCACCTTGTCTCTCCTTTCCAAAACTGGCAGGGATAAACCCACCGGGAAAGGGCAGCCCCACCTATTTCTGCTTTTCTTTAAGCTCGCCCAAGACAGGAACCCGGGCAAACCGCTGCTCAAAGACGAGGCCCTGCAGGACACCCTCAGGCGAGCACAGCCCAAGTTCCTGATGCCCGCTGAACTGCACAGAGTGGCTGGGCCGGGGCTGGGCAGGCCAGCCTCACGCAGGCCATCATGGATGGGTGAGTGGAGGGGTTAGGAAGGGGGGCTAGGAGCCCTCACCCCCCCCAGCGCCAGCCCTTTGGAAGCCCATGGAGCTGCCACCGGGGAGCTTTCTGTGAGGACTTGGGCTGCTGACTCTGGAAGGTACTCAGCAATCCTCCTCGGGAAGGTGGCACCCACCCCTCAACACTCCCCCCGGCTCACCTAATCGGGCATAGATGTGGCTGAGGATTCTTGCCGGCTGCACTCGTATGGGGTAGACGTCGGCCACCGTTTCCACCTCAATGCCCTCCTTCCGCAAGATGGCCTTGATGGCGTCAGTCTCTGCCAGGATGCAGACTGGGGGCAGGTGGGGTGAGGGAGAAGGCAATTAGTAGGAGGCTCAGGGGTGTCTCCAAAGGGGAGCACCCACCTTGCCCCCCCGGGCATCCCTTTCCAAGCAGCGCAATGTGCCTGGACACTTCTGTGGCTGCCTCTTGGTCACTCAAAGGAGGAAGGAAAGAAAAAACCCTTTTGACAAGGAAGATGAGCATCCTCCCAGCCCCAGGGAAGGATTGCCAAGCAGCATCCAGAGGGAGGGAGGGAGGGAGGGAGGGCAGGCAGTCTAGCCATGCAGGAGAGGGAGCTGCCAGGAGAGGCACTAGCCTGGCACAGGAGAGCCTGCAGATCCGTGCCTGGTGCATGTGCCGTGTCTATGCCAGGAGAAACTTTCAGCCAAGCACTGGGGAGACCCATGAGGTCCTTCCAGTCTCTGACTCACCCTGAACCACCACGTCAGGCTTGGGGATGGTGGAGAACCTGCGGTTGAGAGGGTCAATCTCCCCAGGAGCCAGAAACCCCTGGAAGCAGACGGAGGATGGCTGGGGGAGCGCCTCGGAAGAGCAGTCCCATCCTGCACACTAGCCCCGGATGCTCCTACCAGAAGCCCACGGGTAGGGCAAGAAAGCAGTGCCCCTCCCTCCTCAGGCTGGATAGAAATAGGTGATTAATTTAAAATGGATTTTTAAATTTTAAATCAGATTTTGATCAAATGTTTTTGAGGGGGAAAAATCTATCTAAAGATAGTTAAGTTACATTACAGATTTAAACCAAAAGCCATGGATTATCAACTTGGGCGGGAGGCATTATCCATCCAGCAGCCCTCAACCACCCCAAGGCACCTGAAGAGCCTGGTGTTCCAAATCACCAGGGCCAAGGAGCCAGCAAGCGACCCCTCTGACCCCCCCCCCATGGGCTCCCTGGATGGCTGAAGGGCAGCCGAGTCCCACCTCTGCCAAGAGGCAGCCCAGGATGTAGAGGGACTGGCCCCACATCAGGGGCAGCTTGCCCTGCGGCACGCGGTCCACGGTGTGAGGGTTGCCGTACTCTTCCTCAACCTGGAAGACAAGAGTGAGGGGATCAGGGGACCTGCAAGGGCTGGAGAGTGGCCAGGGGCCTGCCAAGGGGTCCAGCAGCCACGGGGAGGGGGGGCATCAGACAGTGGATGGAAGGAGGGGGTGGCAGGTCAAGCCATGGGATTTTTATCCACCTGCCTCGGTGGCAGGGTTGAGACTGGGGGGGGGGCTAGCTTGCCACGTCCTGAGTTCTGTGGCCGTGTCTCCCCGCAAGGGACTGTGTTTGGAGGCAGGAGAAGGGCCCCTTCCCTTCTCGGAGCATGGCTCCCCTTCCTGCATGCTCAGGACCCACAGGGCCTGGCTGCTCACCTTCTCCGGAGGGACACTGTAGAGCTCTGGGACAAGCCGAACCCCATTCTTCCCCTTGATGAGCACCCCTTCCAGGGCTTCTCGGTACTCCTGAACCTGAACGGGGAGAGAGACGGGAGGGTCAGCCTGGCCCGAGGCACAGAAGCGAGGATTCTTCGGGCCTCCCTCCCCCTTGCTTTGTGGGCCCTGGAGGCAACGTAGCTATGGACGGACTGAAGGGCTTCCCTGGCCGGCTGGCTCCCTCCTCCCTGCGGAGGATCCAGGAGGAACAGGTGACAGGGATCCAAAGCCACGCTTCTGCTGAGGCGGCTGAAGGATGGAATTCCAGACGCTCAGCTGCCTCCCTCCGGGACTGACTGGATCATCCTCCCTGGCCTGCCACCAGAAGTGCCTCCCGCCCCCCCTCTCGGCCAAGGAAGCCACGGCGGCCTCCCTTTGCATCCGTTTCCTCCCCCTCACTGCCCTTGCATGGTGCTGCCAGGTGCAGGCAGGTTCTGCAGCTGCCACCCACACACCACCCCCTGACTGGGCTGCCAGATACACCGCCTGCTGGCACAGCTTACACCACCTTACACCACCATGGCTGACCTCAGGCACCCCCTCGGGGGAAACTTGGAGGAGGAGAATTTGAAGCCAGACGGTGACTCCAGGCCCCACTGCCTTTGGGCGCACGTTCACCAATGGGGCAGCTGCAAGGGGGGTGCAGGAGGAGGAGCAGCCTGAGTGTCCCCATGGCCGTGTGGGCCTCCCTTTTATTCTCCCCGAAAGGAGGAGGGTCCCCTCCTCTCTTCTCCTCGCCTCGGCTTTGCTTTGTTTTGCAGAGGGCCCCCGCTTTTACTGCCGCTCCCCACTGAGACAACCTCTCCCTCCTGGCCTCCCCTGGCCTGGCCGGCAGCCCCCCCCCACCTGCTCCCTGTTGCCGTTGAAGATGCCATCAAGGATGAAGTAGGTCCAGAAGAGGGGCCACTCGCACTCAATGTTCTCAAAAAGCTTCAGCTCCGCCGGCTCGTAGTAGAGGCGCTTGGGGTCCTGTGGAGGGAGCGCAAGAGGAGGGTGGGGGCCCGCGGGGCCATTGGAGGAGCTGCGCAGGCAGTCCAGACCCCTTAGCCGGAGGCAGGAGGGCGGGAGCTGCACTTTCACCTCTTTAAAAAGGCATTTACACACATACCCAGGGGAGGACCGCAAGCCAAAGCAAGATGTAAAATTAAAAGGACAAATTGACATCCATTAGCAAAGCTGGATGTGAATAACACATCCCCTCAGGAGCTGTCCAGATGTTGAACCTAGATCATGGACAGGATCCCCTTGCCAGTGTTTTCATCAGAGTAATCCCAGTTCCTACACTGTGGAAATTTCTGCAAATTTCTGCTCTAAGCAGAATTGCATCGTCTTCATGACATCGCCCTGCCCTTTTCAAACAGTAGGCAATTAGAACATGGTCACTGTATCCCAGATTTTTCTACAGAAATGGTAAATTAAAAAGCACTTTGGATTTTTCCTCTTCTAGGACACCCATCATGCTTCCCTCTGCCAAAAGTTTGCCTGCCAGCCGTATTTACTTTCTCTAATTTAAAAAAGGGACAGAAGCTCCAGTCTGCTGGAGCATCGCCTGCCCCCCTGCCTGCAAAAAACAACAACAACAAAAAACCCTCTAAGCCCTGATTTTCTGTCCCACCAGCTCAAGCGTCCAACCTTCCACATGAAACCATCAGGCTAAAGCACTCCAGATCCCGTGACTGGCAGGAAACGGATGGGAATGAGGCCACGGCACCTGGCCAGGCAGGAAGGACTCACCTCCTTGGGGGTTCGGTAGCCATCGCGGAGAAACCTGCAGCAACCGTATCGGCCCTGGGAAGGAAAGCCACCCGATCAAGCGCTGCCCCATGGAAACCCAAGGGTACCAGCGGGAGGTTTGCTGCGGAAGGTCTCCCCAATTCACTGCAATGCCTGTGGAACTCCCCTCCGCCTCCGAGTAGTCCCACTTGCCTGCAGCTTGGTGATGATCTCCTGCTTGGTTCTCTCCACAATCTCACTGTCTTCCACAGCAAATGCTGGGTAGGAGATGACCGAGAGGAGGCTGGCATCAATCTCCTTGGAGGTCGAAGCCCTCGGCAGCATGGAATGGAGGATGGACTGCCAAGAGAGCGAAAATGGCCCAGGTGCACCAACCGGGGAGGGGGGGGGCTCACCAAGGATGGCGCTTTAGCTCCACAGGCAGCCGAGAGACCAGCGCCCCATCTCTTGCGGGCTCGGCCCACCTCCTCCCCATCAGATGTGCAAACGTACAGGGCTACACGCTGGGTTGATATACTGCTGCCCAGTCTGCTCATTTGATTGAGACCCCACCTTTCTGCCCAAAGGCAGGCACTCATGTCTGAAGGCAGCATAACCAAGACCACCTGAGCCCACGGGCTGGCTGAAATCTCCCCCCCCCTCCCCCCCCCCCCCCCCGGTCCTTCTGTTTCCCAAGCCCCAGAGGGATGGTCCATTATTGTCCTCATCCTCAGGGGGAAGGAGACCAGGCTCCCCACTTGCAAAAGCTGCCCTCCCTCCCTCCCTCCCCCATCCTTACCTGGCAGTGCTGCACCTCATCTGAGAGCACGTGGATGACAGCCTGGGGCCCGCCCTTGGCCCCAAAGAGATTCAGTTCATCCAGAGCCTCAAGGGCTGCCTGGGAGCGAGGAGACAGCACGTGGGATCATTGTCCCAAAGCAACTTTGCTGGCCGGCCCACACATGCACATACACACACACCGGACTAATCAGGGGCACGTGTTTCTGCTTCCTCTGTTGACCCTCTGGCTGGCCAGGCATGGCTGGAAACAGCAGCTGGAGCAGGTTAAGGCTGTGTCAGCCCTATTACGGCCCCTCCGACCCCCAAGGACAGAACCTACTCACACCCACCCACAGCCCATCGCTCTGCTCCGTGCCCAGCCAGGCCTCGGGACACTTCTTGGGTCTTTGGCAGGCCCTTGAACTCTGCTGTTGCCCTGGCTCTTCCTCAAGACTTTTCAACCAGACCCGCAGATCGAAGGCACCCCCCTCACCTTGGCCATGCCCACAGAGCTGGCATTCAGCTCCGTGATCCCTTGGTTTGTCTTGTCGCCACGTTCCCATATCCCAAAATCCTGCAAAAAAAACAAATAAAATAAAATAAAGGATCAACACCTCATGGAAGCCAAGAAGGAGCCCAAGAAGGCACCAACCGCCTTCCTAAACTGGACAAAGAGCAGCGCAGGGCTAGAAGGGCAAAGCCCTCCCTTGCCACAGGGGCAACCCCCCCCCCACTGCACTGCCAGGCATCTTCTCCTGCTTGAGAAGGCGCCATAGGGGCACCCCCCCACTGCGCTGCCAGGCATCTTCTCCTGCTTGAGAAGGGCGTCTAGCCCAGCTACAAGGGGTGCCTGGCCAGGCTTTAAAGGTCAAGGGTGGCATCAGAGGAGGCAACGGGCTGACCACAGCAGGCGGGCAAGGGGGTCAGCAAGATGCTTCGTAATCTGCCAGGCAGAATGTTGTGGGAGCCAGGTCTGCTGCCAAAGCTGCCCGTGTGGAAGAGATGCATCGCATCTTCCCATTGCCCTAGAAATGAAGGCCAGCCCCTGCCTTGAGCACCGGGGGGGGGGGGGGAGGCTCTGCCTTCTGCAGCAGAACAGGCAGGAGGTTTCACTCCCCCACCGAGTGTCTGCCAGGCTCCCCCCCCACGGCCCTTACACCTCGGCTGGGCCAAAGGGGACCCCAGCACTGGACAAGGACACCCTCAGCACGCAGCACCATTTGAACTAACATTTGCTTCTAAGGTCCAGCTTTCCAAGCCTGACTAAATGACACAGAATGTGGGCTTTTACTGACACACAGCATGTGACAAGGGGGCACCTTCTGGGTTTGTGTAGCTGGGGGGGGTGCGTGTGGAGTAGCATGGTTTCTTGGCTGAGAAAGCAAAATTCCCCTCCTCAGCACCTCGTGATCTTTGTGACCTGAAGGGCCATCGCGTACGAGGGGGAGCGCCCTCCTTCCCTGCTGTTTCGGATGGAAAGACCCAAACCAAGGGATACAAGAAAGAAGATGTTCACATGAGAAAGAACATCCTGAGAGTTAAGGACGTCCGGGTGAGGAACAGACGCCCTGGAAAGTCCACCTCATTGGACATTCCTGACAGAAGCTGCTTAAGGTCTGCGCGGCTAGACAGACGGCCACTGCTAGCAGGTCCTCCCTGGGCCAGTAGCCCTGCAGTTACATGAAAGCACCCCGTCCTGGCCACGACCCACCAGAGGATGCCAGCGCTTTGCCCGCTGCTGCAGCCCCACCACCCTGGAGAGGAGGGAAAGGGACCTTTGGCCCAACTGGGCGCCAACTGGGGAAAAGGGACTCACCGCTGTCTTGTAAGCGGCCTCGATGTAGAAGACCAGGTTCTGGATGAAGTTGACTTCGTCCAGGCTTTGGATGATGTAGAGCCCTGGAAGGGAAGGGTGGCAGAGGGCGATGCTCAGGACATGAGGGGGGTGGGTGGGGGCCCAGGCCTCTCTCTCTCGGGA